TGCATGATTTTAAGCAGAGTCGTGAGGATTAAGCTGCAGCGTTGCCTTTCTGCCACGGCGTCATATATATATAATTAATTACGAAATATTGTTATCAGTCAAGTTTGACGGATATTTCATTGCATCCTTTTGCGAATACGTCTTCATTGATATCTCTTTCTTCTCTACTTTTACCCCTTCAGCAAGGTTTCACTGCAGCTCATCTGGCCCGCCGGCAACATTACCTTACTATATTTGATGTTCTTCGTACGATTACAACCATTGTCACTGACTGGGAAGAACTGGAGGAAGTGATGGAAACTGTAGAGCCAAGGTCTGGGACTAAGGTTCTCGAGCCAGCAAGAAAGCCATCAACTCTACAGTTAGAGAAGCCTGAGTTTATGGGCGAACATGTGGTCTCAGATTCTGAGGAAGAGGGAGGTAGGCTAATCGCATCTTTAGAAACTTAATACATCTATACTGGGTAATTCTCCGTTACTGCGTTTATGAGGGATTTTTATAGACTTATTTTTGGTTTTTGTTTGTTGCTTGCTTGCTTCCCGATCATTTGTAAGGCTTGTATTTAATGTAGAAAGCTGGTTATCATGATACATTTGTTCTGAGTCGTCGACTTCCAGCAAACTGTTTATGTTTAAAACTAATTTCTTCTTGATAAATATACTATTGTTTTCCCTTGGACTACAGTTTAGGCATATTCGACATTATTTTGCCATTACTAGGCTCTCACTATTCGTCCTTACTCTGATCAGTTAATTTCATTATCTTCATATCTTTGTTTATCCTATCTTATTATCTGCTTACTAAAGAAGCATTCGATTTTTTGCATCAAAACCTAATTTCGTATTCATTATCAGGGTTATGGATGTATGTTTGCATTAATGACTGCAACTACTAGGGTTTTCACATATTTACACTTTTAAGAAATTGTTCAGCTGCGCCTTTAAACAATATATTTTTTAATTTACCTTCTTTTTATTTTATCACATTTTTGATTACATTTCTTACTCTATAGTAGTAAAGGGCGGTGCTATGCGCAAGATAATCGAACTCATCTCTCTGTAAATAAGTAATTAACTTCTGAATTTGTCTTATTTTCTACTTATCAGAGAGATATTCTCTTGAGCTAAGTCGAGGTTGTTACCCTAGCAACTATTTTCGCCTTCTCTTACTTTGGCTTCTACAGTTTACATCCTTAGTCAAGCTTGCTTAGAATCAAGTCTTGGGAAGATGCTTAATCCTATTCTTCCTCATCATTAATAAATATTACTGTTGAAAACATTTAAGATACCTTTAACAAATCGTTGTTGATTATTATTATTTTTTCCTTTAAGCTTCCTTAATCAACAATTATATACATATATATATATATATATATATATACTGCGACTTCTAATGAGAACAAAAGTTAGATTATGCACATACTTAGCTATCCAAGTTGACAACATTTTAGTTTCCTGAACTCTCCATATCTGACTTATTAATTATATCATCTCTTGTTTCTTTAACGAACTGTTACTCTACAAAATTATCTAGTTGAAAGCTGTAGGATCTATGCCTTCACTTGATATTCATCTTTATAACTTGATTAACAGTTCCTTTTTAAGGAACCTTAGGTGAAGGGTTCTTATACGATATTTACTACTAGCTTTAAAACCTATTCATTCTATACATTATATTAGTCCATTGTAAATTTATTTTAAATTTCCTTTCTTTTTTGGCTACTGTATATTGTTTTTTTAAATTCATCATGTTGCCTATATTACTTTTAAATCGATTCCTTTTTCTATCCTATATTCGAAAAGCGAACGTTTACATTCTACCAATTAATATTCCATACTATTATAATCAACTTTTATCCTAAAAGCTCGTCATTTCAGTCTGCATTTCTCTATGATTAGTCTATACGTTGTCAGAATAAATTGATGGAAAATAGTCGGGCCGTACATTCCCAGATCTTTCGCCGGCATCGTCAGTGAGCCTTGCCATTCTTAGCACTACACCACAACTCATCAAAGAGACAAGTGAAGTCGATCCCTTGACCAATTTTCCGATAAATACTTGCGGTTTTTCTCCTGTTCTAGGCTATTCATCTATCCTATATCCTCGTATTACCCCTTCACTATCAAAATTTCCTTATTGCTTATTTAAATGTGGTATGGTGGGTACTTTTTGAGCGGATTTCATGAGACGTCTTCATACTGCATCCCCTTACAATTGTGCTGGGAACGTTGATCTGAGTGCGATATTATTCCGCAATCCTTTTCCCTTAAGTCCTATAAGAGTTTCCCTCTTGCCCCGTTCGATCCGTTTTCTATCTTTATGTACTCCATTTGGCCCCTGCCAGCCTATCTGTGCTATTCGAGTCGTTATTTCCCACGCTCTTCCTCAAGCCTTTGATGACATGTATACTCCCGCCTCACTAAGTAGGCCGACAAAGTCTGAACTATGAAGCTGGATGGGAGACTAATCGAGGACATAGATCCCGAGACATTTTCATTGTCAAGTATTTGCTTCATGGAATACTTCCATGATCAAACACGTCTACAATTAGCCAACCAGCTCTAGTCTCTGTCGCATCTATCGTGCTTCTGGTCAGGATTCCATGTCTATGACTTTCTATGCCATAGTTTCTTGTATTCCAACCCACAAGTGATGTGGTTCTACTTGTTTTGATTGGGCTTGCTGTAGACCTCTCTTCTTGGTTTCTGATCGTTGCTTTCTAGTCTCCTTGCGATTTCTTACCATAAAATTCAAGATATTATCTAGTCTTCTTTTTGCTGATCTTACTATTGTTTAGACAATATTCAAAATTTTCGCTCATTTATCTAATTTTATAACTTTTTATCATGCCTACGATGTGCTTGTGTATATTTATTTTGCCTGATAACTAATGCTTTTATATATACTATCTAGTTCATTCTTTGTTTAAAAAGTTGTATTCTTTTTAGACTTGTATATTTATCTTCATAGTCTTAATTCTCTAGTTACTTCGAATTGATTTCTAATTAATTAGTAGTTCGTTGTCATATTAATCTTTCCTATTTTACAGACCCTTCCAGGCTAATTCTTATGAAATTTTTTTATTTTTTCGCATGATAATTAGGCGAATATACATTCATGAAGTTACTTTACGGAGTTTTTACAGTACCGCATTTTTTAAGATCCTAACTTCCGATTATTTTAAGGTTATTTTGCCAGCAGAGGGTTATAGTTAGGCATTTTTAAGTTTATTATGATATGTAGTAGTCTCGAAACTCTACTTACATACGAAAAATTTGTAATTGTAGTTTACTCACTTATTTATTTTGGGGTGGCTGTTAATGCAAAATTTTGGTTAATAAAGCTATTTATCTTAGCCTTGGCTTGATTTCGTTTTCGCAAATTGGTCGGAACAACACGGAGTCCTTGTTGAACGAACTAGTCTTGCGTCATCTGCTATAGTATTCATGGTGACTTCCAGCATCAGACCGTTGACTTTGCACATTCACACACGTTTTGCTGGCATTGTCTGTGAGAGGCGCCATCGTTAGCACAGAGTTAAAACTTGTTAAAATGAAGTGTGAAGGCTACCTCTGGCCAATTTTCTGTTTAACTGTTGTTACATCACTGATTATTTTTTGTCCTACATTCTAGTCTTACATCTCTTACTCCTAATTCCAATTCATAATGCTTATTTATCTATTCACATCATTCTGTATCCTCGTTTTCTCTAATGTCGCCTAAGAGTGTATCACTGGGAATAGATCCAATAAAGCACAATCATCATTACTTTTAGAAGTCCTTCTCAGCAATGGTTGTTCATAGTCTTTGACTTTTATTTAGCCTCTTTCCACCACGTTTCCTGCTACTTGGGAAAATCACTTTCTTTCTGCACATGATCCTTCACTTCTTGTCTCCGTTTATGTCCTATTCTAGGATTAAGGACTAATAATTCTCATGACTGGGAATCTTCCTCTCCCTATACTTTACTCTTTCTCATCTTTTTCCCCTTATTTTTTAGGTCCCTCGTATGGTTTGATTCGAAACCGCCTCCCCATAACTCCTAAATCTCTTAAGTTTCAAGTTGACGGTCCCACCTAATCCTGAAGTTCTAGTAAATTGTGCATGTGTACAGTCACTTCGCACTACAGGAATACACATGATAAATGTGTGAGCACACATTGGAATAACTGATTTAGTATTCTCTAGCTCGGTCTCCACACCCTGATTAATTAGCAATGGACCTGGATTTCTGACCTAGCATTTCTGATGGTGTACAATTTGTATGTTAAGCATTTAATTTACTACCCCACGCCGATACCTTCATTCTGATTCTACGTTTGACTCATTGATGTCACCTTTTCCTGGCTTCTTCTTTGTCCATCATCATCTCCTTGGTGATGTCTCCTCTTTTTGTTTAATAAATGTTCTTGATCCAATCGTCTTTTTTGGCTGTCTTCCAAGTCTGCTCAGGTAGTACGCGAAATTCTCGCAAAATATTTCCTTTTTCTCAGATTTATTTGAAAGAAGATGTCCATGGCCTTTCTGATCTTACGTTTTCTGATGTTCTCCTCATATGAGGCCACTCTTTCCGTTGCACTCGGGTCAATAGGGTGGCCGTTAATCTATCCCCATATATTTCGGTATCTGTTTTTTGCATAGGGTTATTTGATTCTTATGTTGATTATACTTTTAGTTTCTTTTATTTACAGTCGCTGTATTTTATACTGTAAACTTCGGAGCATTCCATTTTATTAACTACGCCATACCTTGTGGGCGATCTGGATAAGAGGGTTGACCTTTCCTTCTGGATTATACAAATGTTTCTTTTTAATGATAGCGGCCTCAGCTTCCGAATCAAATATGCTTTTGTTTTCCTGATAATTTGTAATTGATTGTGCCTGCGAAACGTTGGGAATATATCAAACCAGTTGTCCGATCCTGGAAATCATAAATATTATTGCAGATGCAGCACTATGTACTTTCCACAAGCTCTGGCGACAGGCGACAAGCCCTGTTGTCCCGACAAATTTACGAAAACGAGGTCAAACTAGCACTATACAGCTAAATTAGATTATAACCAAATAAAAGGACACACTCTTGTCCCTCATATCTGTTACCTATTTATCCTAGTACGCAAAATGATGTATCCCAATTTAATTTTCCCATAAAG